AAAGTCCTTAATTCGCCCTAGAACACTGAAAACAGTTTTGAGTTTTTTCCACTTTTTTTCAATATTGCATATGGCTTCTGCAGCAGTTTTTCACGTGTGCCTGATTAGGTTTAGGTTTAGTACATATAGAGGACTGAATTAGGTTAAATCTTTGGGCAAAAGATCCATGGCATTATGTTTTCAATATTTGATTTCCAATCACATATTTTTGCATATTTTTGATTGACAAAACTTGCTAATTTTGGATATTTTGGTCCCCTTGATTGATACACGAAATCTTCAGCATGCGTTGACCTCTTTTGCTTCACAAAAAGATTGAGAAATCATATCTTTGAATTTTCCTACAATTAAATGAATTAAATGAATTAATATTGATTAAAAATTCAATTAATTAATAAATAATAAGAAAATAAATCAATTTAATCTCAATGGGTCGTGCATAGGCCTTGGACAATGTTTCAAGAAGGAATTTGAGGCCCATTAGCAAAAATGAGGTGTTTTGGGCAAAGTTGACTTTTGCAAATTCATGAAAATTCCCAACTTCTCCAATGCATATCTTGCTCAATTTTGAAGCTATGAACATGTTCTTGGACATTTTGGAAAGGTATTGAAGTCCTCTAACCAATGCCTTTGGTCCCATGTCATTTGGATTTACCAATCTCAAGTTATGGTCTTTGACTTAAAGTGCATTTTTGTTGACTTTTGAAATTGACCTATAATGTAGAAATTGATAACTTTTTGTGAGAGCATTTCTTGGACTCGGAATGTGAAGATGAGTTGTAGGAAATGTCATCCCCTTCAAAATGAGCATTGGATGGGATTTTTCTGATGAACCATGAAAAAGTTATGCCTTGGTCAAGTTACAGTTGACTTTTCAACTGTCCAAAAAATAGAAACTTTTGCATCTTTGATGATTTTTGAGCCATTCTTGTGGAATCATGATCAAGACTTGATAAAATGATGATTTTGTGCTCAAAATAAGATGTTGACCAAAAAATTTGACTTTTGACTGTAAAATGACCATTTTGCCCCTACAGTTGACTGTTGAGCAAATGGGCTTTTTGACTGTGCAAACTGGCATTGTGAATCTTGAAACTTGGCATGTAGATGCTTGACAATGTATATGGGCACATGGGACTTGATTGGACCACTGAAAACCTCAGATTCCTTGACAGAACTAAAACCCTAATTTTGACCGGCTTAGGAGGATGTTTGACTGTGCAACCCCTGAGGAATCTTGAAGCATTTGAAGATTGATCTTGACAAATCTTGAAGAATATGGGAGGGAAAATTTTGGGGTACAACACTTGTGTAAGATTAGATGTTCCTTCCGGCTCCGGAGTTGTGTTCACTTGATCTATTTTACCTATTACAAAGAAAATATATTTCACATGTTAAGAAACACTAATAGATATTATCATCATAATTTTAAATTGTAATAACAAACATGTGAAACTTAAAACATATAAAACATGTAACTTAATTCTTGGTAATGCTGAACTTTTAAATTGTAATAAGAAGAATCCTTTAGACCACTTCTTGATACATACAGAGATGTAATAGCTTACAACACAGATAACATATCGCTTTTAAATTGTAATAATTTTAACATGCCATATTCTTGATAATTTATCATGTTTGCAACTGGAATAAAACTGCCTATAATAATGTTTGTCTACTAACTTTCAGCATGCTTGCATGCGCGTTAAATATCATGTTTTTGAACTGTCTAGAAACATAAGCACAACACTAAAAGAACTGTCTAATATCAAAAGCATTAGTGCAAATTAGTCGGGGCAACAATGGTGGAAGATAGAAACAATAATACTCACCATGTTAACATATAGAAACAACAACTTCTAATCTTCAAAATGGTAACTCAAACAACCTTCCATCAACTCAGTTGTATTAACAAATAAATTGATGTTAAATAAAACACTAAAGCTTAAAACTTCTACACCAAATGAAGTACAAAATACCTTCATCGTCTGACTCCATTTCATTCAACACAGTAGCAATTTCTTCTGCAACTCTAAAAATTCATATATATATATATATATTATATAACAAGAAAAATTAGTAATATATTATTTGCCAATGACATACCAAAGTAGTAATACATTATATAACAAAAAAATTAAGGTAGAAAGTAAAAATAATTTGACAATGACATACCGTTATTCTCAGCAGCCCATAGCCAACTCCTAGCACACATCAAAGCCTCTACGGTAGTCCAATTAAGTCGGCTACGATGAGGACTCAATATTCTACCACTATTACTGAAGGCCGATTCAGAAGCTACTGTAGAGATAGGAATAGCTAACACATCTCTTGCAATTGCTTGAAGTGTTGGATACACAACTCCATTTACCTTCCACCAATTCAAAATGTCAAATTCTGGAGTATTTTTTATAACTGGCTCTTTCAAATAATGATCTAACTCATACTTAACACTTGAACTTGAGTCTTCGGCAACGGAAATTGTCTCAACGTATGCATCAAATTCAGCCTCGTCATCAATAATAGCAGTTGTACCAATGGATGGAGCAGTAGGTTGTGCATCTCTAAGTTTAATCTGTTGATAATCATTGAGCAAATCATAACACATGTCTTTGATTCTACTAACTTGTGCACTTGATTCTTCTCCATACAACTTAGGAAACCAGAAATTAAGTACAATCATCTTCTTCCTAGGATCCAAAACTGCAGCAACTCCCATCATATCATGAACACCACTCCAATAATTTTGAAATTTTTCCATCATTCTTGTGGCCATCATCTCAATAATTGAATTGGAGGACTTCTTCCATTCCTCTATTGCCAACTTAATCTTACAAATCTTAGGAAAGTACAAGTTGGCAGTTGGATATTTTGTACCAGAAATCAACTCAGTTACTTCATTAAATAATTTTAAGCACCCACAAACATCTTTAGAAAATTGCCATTGTGAATTATTTGGAAGACAAGTGTACAAAGACTCACGTTGCTTCAACCGAATAAATACATCCTTGTACTCTATGGCAATATCAAGCATCTTATATGTGCTATTCCATCTTGTTGGACAATCTAGAGCTAACTTTCTAGTGCAAATAATTCTCAATTGTCTAGCGGTATCTTCAAATTTTTCATACCTTTTAGGTGTAGCACTCCAAAATCCTACACTATCCCGAATATTTTCTATGCCATCCTTAATCACTTGTAGCCCCTCCTGAACAATTAAATTTAGGATGTGCGCACAACAACGCATATGTAACAAAGACCCATCCCTTATTAAACATTCCAACGACAACTTATCCTTAATTTTCCTAATCATTGAGTCATTTGTGCTACAATTATCTAAAGTAATCGTAGAAAGCTTTGAATAAATGTTCCAGTCCATTAAACAATTAACAAGTGCTTCAGCAAGTCTTTCACTAGTGTGAGGGGCTGGAACATAAATGAACCTAACATAATATTTACAAAAAACAAGTCTTTCACTTATTGTCATTAAGAACAAAAAAAAGATACAATTAAGTTATAAAATATAAACATTGTTACCTCAAGATTCGACTCTGTAAAGTCCACGAGCCATCAATATAGTGAGCCGTAACCGTCATATACCCTTTTTTTTGGTTGCTTGAAGTCCACATATCTGTGGTAATTGCCACTCTCCCTTCATGGTTATCTAACATCTTCATAGCACATTTTTTCTCAAAATCATAAACTTTCAATACCTCCTTCTTGATTTTGTTTCGAGTAGGAACTTTAAACAATGGTTGGAGAGAAACAAAGACTCTTCTAAGACCAATGTGATCCATAATTGATAGTGGATAATCGTGCATAATAATAGCTTCAGCAATCAACTTCTTCACATGTTCTGGATCATAGGTTCCAATTCCCAACTCTTGCTTTCCTTCTGAGATAGTCGGTAGGAGAAATGGTTGTCCTTTGTCATGGTTTCTAGTCTTGATCTTTTTTTGAATACAACTCAAGAGATGTCCTTTCAAGTGATTTGTTCCATTCTTTGAAGTGCCATTAAGTTGTTTTTTACACCAGATGCATTCAGCCTTATCTTTTCCATTCACTTTCATCTTTTTAAATTCTTGCCACACATTACTTCTAAGTTTCTTTGATGCAGGTTCTAAAATTGTATCAATTTCTTCTTGTTTCCCAATATCAGGTTCAGGTGTCGGATTCGGATTAGAAGATACCTCCTGAGTTAGACATGTACTTTCTTGTGTAGGATTAGATGCTCCTTCTGGTTCCGGGGTTGTGTTCACTTGATCCATTTTACCTACTACAAACAACAAGAAATTTCATAAACAATTGTATAAAAGAAAATGAGACTTTAAGAAGGCACGAAAAAACATACCACCACAAGATTCATAATCGCAAACACCTTAACATTCATACAAAGTTTAAAAAAGAAATTAAAATGATAAAAACTATTATTGATAAAAGCTATTATTAAAAGTAATGTTTTTACACGAGACAACATGGTTTTATTTCAAATATGAAGTTATATCTCTCTTTTTCAACTGTCAAAGATTCACAGTCCAGCAGCAATGGGCTATGATCCGAGTGCGACGCGAGGAGATTCCACAAAATTGGACACGTCACACAACGCTTCCATTTGTTACTATATTCATACAGGTACAGGAAAGTATAGCTTTCAACCATGGAACAACATGATGCATCCTCAATTTCCCAATCCCTAAGGTTTTGGAAATCCTAGACCTCCATCACAGTGACCTAACCTATAAAGCTTTAAAAATCTTTGGTTGTGCTTGTTTCAATTTCCTATAACTTTATCATGGCACTACACCTCCACCTATTCTTCACCCTCAAAATACTCACTTTACGACTACTAGAGCAAAATTTGGCATTGTCATGCCTTGTATTCATCCTACCTTACTCCTAACACATTTAGAACATATCATTGTTCGTACTGTTCTTACCATTGCAGGCACAAATAACTGGCCCATTCAGCAGATATGCATAACCAGAAAACTACCTCAATCTTATTTCTGAGCAACTCTAACATCTTTGCCGGATTCCACATCCATTTTCTTTCCCAAGTATCTCTCCTTATAATCATTGAAATATATCATGAAAACTACCCATTTCAATGGAATCGCCATGCAGAACAAACCTGCTTGTATAAAAGTTCCATTTCCTTGTTCATAGCCTCCAATATAGTAGCAAGAAAATCTTAATAATTGTCCCCATGCAAAGAAAACCAGCATCAAAAAGAGCCCTTTCCTGTGACACCCTCTGCTAAAATTAATAGAGTTCGCTAATGCATCAATACCATATATACCCTCCAAAATTGAGATTACAATACTTATATTCCACATAGAACTCCATTCTAAATACATCTTTAACAACTTCATAAACAACAAGATGCAAATCACAGGAAAAACCACAAAATTGAAATGGTTCAAGCAAATATGGTAAACTATAACTATCCATAGTAATCCAAGTTGATGAGAAGTTGTCAAGAAAACAACATAGATAAAAGTTAGAAATGAGCCTCTTAGTTTTGACAGACCAAGAGGTTTTCAAACATCTCCTTAAGGGTCATTTTCTTCTCTTGTTATGAATTTAGCTTTGAAGCCAAGTCTACAGTAACAACTGCAGTTCCAAACTCAAGAATTTGGAGAGGAAATATATAAATCAAACCAAGTTGAATCAACTTAAGGTAATTACAGTCCTTATTCTCTAGAATATAAAAAATAGAAAAAGTTTCGACTAAGGTTTCTTGAAGCTGAATTTCAAAGTAAACTGTTATACAAAAGAGAGGAAGAGAAATAAGAAAGGTGAAGATTATAAAGTTGAGATTTGTGGCATATATCATAACAGCTTCCTTGAGTATATCAGATACCTCTAGCTCCTGCTTCTGCTTGAGAATGTTTTCTTTTCCATCTTAAACTATGAAGAACAGTATTGTGTGAAGATTCTTAGATACTATTTTTTTTGCCGTGTTTCTCTTTTTATTGGAAGGAGAGAGTAATGAGAAGATTTTGACTCATGACTTAGAAATATAGTATTACTATTATATATAGATGTTAATAATACTTTTTCACCCACCTTAGTCACTCCTATAAATACTCTTCATTCTAAATTCCTAACCATCCCAACACCATATGAAGAAACCCCCCACACCATGGCGACACATTAATTTTCATGACTTGGACGATACCAAATTCCCAATAACAGGCCGAATCGCAATCTGTTAGGATTAAGTGGAATAGACAATCTTACTTGTAAATGGATTTAAATGCAGATATGTAGATAGATGAGTTTCATGAATTTAGTAGGATTATATGATCCGTGTTACTATCCTATGATTTACAATCTTTAACTCTCCTTCTCAATCTTCGGTAAATTTTGGATTAGACTAGGGTGAAAGACAGACTATAAACTCAACCTTGCTTTTAGTTTATCATTTTGCCAAACAGAATTACAGAACTTAGAGTGTTCGTGCACAACAACCAAAAGTATACTCTAGCATTCAGCTAAAATTTAGTTTCAGTGGCTGTCCATTACAAAGTCCTTATCACCCAAAAATAAGAAATCATTAGGCTAGTCACTTCTGGTCATTTGGCAATAGTTTTTTATGGGAAATATTTTTTGCTCTCACACCTCATAGTAGGTATGTCGGGCCATGTTCCCGTCATTTCTTAAATACAAGCTGAGAGACAAAAATATAATGCGATAGAAAATGAATGAAAAAGAGGGTTACCTTTTGCTGATATAACACCTCCAGTAGTACATCCAGCAATAGCAGTATTTGTGATGTCGTGTTTTGCTCGTGCCTGAAAGAAAAAAAGGACCCAGATGATAGGAAGAAGAATTAAACTCACATGCTTGATGTAAATATAAATATATATATTTCATTCGCAAATCCATTAGTTCTGATTTGAAAAACAATCAGAAGATCCGCAAGAAGCAACATCCATTCTAGATTCAATTAACAACCTAATTCAAGAATCAAGAACTACACTATAATCTAAGTATTATTCTACTCCTAAATCAAATCTAGGCTTCTATGAGGAATTAAGGTATACACCTAATGTGCATAAATTATTCTAAATTTCTATCTCACAAAATTGATTCAAGAACCTAATTCATTCCTAAGCCAAATTCAACATAAATCTCTAATCCAATTCTAGAACTATGTAAAGCATATTAATTCCTATTAGATTAATCTATTCACAATCCAATTGCTCAACTTCGTAAAAAATCAAAGCATAAAAGCTCAAAAACAATGGAGTTTGATGTTATGTTACCTCTTTGAACACTAGAAGAAGATGAAGAGGAAAAGTAATGATGTTGTCCGAAGAAGAGGAAGGGCACGGTGAGAGGACAGCCGGAGGAGAAGAGATCGTGGATGGAGGATCGCGCGAAGGAAGATTGCTCGCGGAGCTATTACCGGTCAGAAGAGAGGAGGCGCACAGGCGGAGGGAGGATCAAAGAGATACGGTTGTTAGCCGGAGCAAGGAGTGTCACCAGAGGATGTCGCACAGTGGTGGTGGTAGGTGGTGCAAGTGAACAATAAACCCTACATTTTATTTTTAATTATTGAAATATATATATATATATATATATATATATATATATATATATATATATATATATATATATATATATATATATTTAGGGATAGTTTTGTAATTTAACATATAAGCGGGTGTGGTTTCGGGTTTCGGGTGCGGGTTTAAGCTATCCCAAACCCACACCCGAAATATCGGGTGGAACCCGAACCCGAACCCGAACCCAAACCCAGTCAATTCGGGTTTCACCCGTTGACTCAGATGCAGGTGTGGGTGGGGCCCGCGGGTTTGGGTCTGCTTGCCATCCCTACAGATATCACAGTCCTTTGAGATGGCTCTCCTCTGGAAATTAGGACTTGCATCATCTTAGTAAGTTTGGCCATGCCTGACTTCAACTCATCGATTTCCATTATGACTTCCATGTTGTGTTGTTCTTGGTTTTCCATTCTCAATCTGACAGCAGCTCTAGTCCCGTAGTTATGTTGAGGAATCAGCTTGACGGTAGATGACTAACTGGAAGGAAGAAGCAACTGGGAATAAGATCCTGATCAACCTGGATGTATGCAGAATGATGCAGAGGATGCAAATGATATGCAATGTTATGCAATGCACTGCACAGTAACAAGATCACACGGTTCAGAGTCACGAGCCTGGAGTCAAAGGTACAACCCATAAGGTATGGACTAACTTTTATCACCTGCCGAACAAGGTTCTAAGAGGTTCCCAAATTCTACATCCTTCCTTTTGATATTACCAACGTCCGGATTAACTCGGCAATTAGCAATATTCTTAGGAAAGACTCGTCCGAGCGTAGTATCGCGTGACAACTATTTCCGGATTACTCCGTCATAGCTTCCGCACTACACCTAAAAGGCCAAGATGGGTTAGGTAATCTACGGTCCTCAGCTTCAGCAGGCTCCCAGGTCGAAAGCAGTACGTCTTCCCGATTACTCGGTAAACGATACTACAGTCAAAGGGGCCTCCACTGAGTGGGGGATCTCATGTCTCCTTTTTTGGTATTACTCCCTCAAAGTTAACATGACTATACCGCCCGTCCTTTCTTAAGTTTGCCCAAAGTCCGGGTAGAAGACTTATAAGAAATCACCAAGCACCCTGTAAACCAGGAAAATCCAAACAAACTTATATACAAAATATAACACATAAACACAATAGCACGTATACAGATATAAACAAAGATAGGCTCAACCCACTTAAGGATGGACTAGCAAGAGGTCAATCTTTCCCCAGTGAAGTCGCCATTTTTTCTATAGCGGTAGAAATGTGCAAGACTAAGCCATTGGATTGACTAGACTTTATACAAATCAAAATCAAAATCGCCACCGCGCTTTATTGTTTCCAAAGGAATGGGAAAAGAGCGAATAACCCAAAAAGAGGGGGAAAGATTCAAGGTAAGGGGGTTGGTTATGCAAAGGGAAGGTATTAGCACCCTAAACATCTATGGTACTCCGCAGGAACCTCTTTGTAAAATATGTATATTTTGGCTATAAAAATGTGTTATATAAAAAATGGATGGTGGAGGTGAGAAAAGAAATATTTTTATGATTTTTGCACCCGCCGCGGTTGCGAACCTTTAGTGCCTACGTACCACCTTTCGTGCAATAGGGGGTCAGGGTACACGTAGTTCATCTTTTAAAAGACTTGTTTGTTGATTGTTTTTAAACAAGGAGACAAGTCGTCATTGTTAGGAGAGAAATCTCGACTAACGCCCACAAGGTGTAAGAAAGATGGACCCTGCGTCAACAAGAGTGAGGGTTTGAGAACGCCTCTAGTACTTAAGTGGAAAAGTCGACATCTTCATAACCATAGGGATAGGAGAATGTTGCTCGACTATCAATGAATCATGTCTCACCTTGAAAAAAAAGTTTTGAATGGAAAAGGTGCTTGGGCGCACAAAAGAGTTTGAATGAGTTGAAGTGTTTTGTTAATTTTGAAAGAAATGTCAAAGTATGATTAAATGAATTGAAGTTTGTTTAAAGAAAATAAGTTTTAAAAGAAAAGTCACTCGACAAAGTCGAGGTTTATTATGAAAGCGGTTCGAGTTTAAAAACAAAGAAGATTTTGAAAGAAGATGATAAGGTTTTTAAAATTAAAGAAGATGGGAGGAGATGAAGGGACTATCCTAAAGCATAAGGTAAAAGCTAAGGAAGAGAACCGTCTAACCAACATGAAGCCGATACTTGACATTATAAGCTAATGTAGAATTCCCATTCTTTGGATTGAAATCAAGCAAGCAAAGATGCTAGACCTCTTGAGAGAACCAAACTTCAAGTGTATTAAGTCTTCGTAAAAATTGGGCAGAGTAACGGCTGTATACGGGTGAATTCCAGATTACAAACAAAGATCGTAATCTCAATAACCTGCACACAAAATAAACAAACAACCCAATGTCTCGATGTAAACCTCAAGAACTCCAGACGAAATATCCATTAAGATCACAAGGTCTCCAATATAAGCCAAGGTTTCTAATCCTAAGTCCAAAAAGTCCATCACTCCATAATGCAAAGGATAGTAACCAAGTAGTCCAAGTATCATTAATACTTTTTATGGTTCATGTTGATTATTAAGTGTCTTTAAAAGGAAAAGAAAAGCTCAAGTGAGCAAAATAAAAATGACATAAAAGTAAATGCTCAAGTGAGCAAAGATGAAAATAGCATGAAATGTAAATGCAAAAAGTAAATGGTACATAAAGCATAAAAAATAAAAGCATAAAGTAAAGTCAATTGTTAGAAATTAGTGGTAAGTTGGATGACCTTATTGAAACTTGCATTTGGAACTCATTAGAGGATTGGTAGAACCAAAGC